GGGCGTCTGTTGGCGGGCAGTCAGTTATGACACGCATAAGAAGATAGTGGCGGTGGCATACTCCACTCCTTCCGTCGACCACCTGTCTGTGTTGGAGGCGTCTATCACGCCTGGTTCCATTGCTGCTCGACCCAGGCTGTGTCTCAGATGCGCGTGGTGCATCGTGGATATGCCGTACCTGTTGGAACAATATCCTCTGCGTGACTGGAGTGCCCTCGGTTGTCGCCCGGTTAACCACGCTATGGTGGACGAGACGAGCATGCCCAGCCTGGTCCTTTGCAGATCAAGACTGCCTCGCAGGTTGAATTGACGCGTCGTCGATGTTATTGGCGGGCGGGATTGACTGGGGCACGGATGCGTATGGATCCGGACCCGCCACTGGAGGGACTTGACCGTCGAATAGCCGTTCCTTCGATTTTTTGGTCATGTTTGCCCAGGACACCAAACTAAGGCGACAGAGAGGGATGAAGAGTGCTTCACGGAGCGTGGTTGGTGGAGGAGTTTAGAGGAGTTGGTGAAAGGCGCGTCGCGAGTGGTACCGCGACTTATAGCCGTCGGCGCATTCCGGCAGGAAGGTCTTTGTTCCCTTTTTGTACCGACTCGTCGAGCAAGGGTAAAGGCCTCTTAGGATTCCCGCTCGGCAGGCATGGAAGACTCATCCTTCAAAGCACTGTCTCGTTGGATGGGTACTAATATTACTCGGATATTTCAGTCTACAATCAAGCGGCTATATCTTCAGACTATCGGGGTATTATCAATGTTATCCTTTCTTCTAGATGCCAGCTGGGCGATCGCAGTCTTGCCAAATATTCTTTCGACAAGGCGCGCAAAATCTTCGGCCATAGGCGCACCATTTCGAGACGAATCCCGACATGAGTTGGGTGGTCGTGGTGCGTGGCTCGACAAGCACCTGTTATCCTCCGCAGCGACGCGCCTACGCCTTGCCCTTGGCTTATGTGGCCCTGTAGCGTATTCACATCCTGACTTGCGAGGCCCAGCGTCACATGAGCATGGCAGGCAGACGCAAGCATCAGCCATATCAATGTCGCATTTGTGGGACACCACCGGTACTAAGAGACTGTATTCGTCCGTGGTCGGGGGAGTAGCAGGGCCGCAATCTGATAGGGTCTGGTCCCCACCATCCTGCGAGGATGTGGGATCAGTGCTTGGGCTCATCATAGACTCGGCGCATTGGGCCGTCGGGTCGAGGTGAAGCAAAGGCCATTGTCTGCGAGGATGTTCCATGTCCAGGATACAGCCATCTATCCAAGCTGGTCTCCCGTAGCCGCGGCTGGGGATTGGATGGTGTAGTCCGCGTGCTTGGACGTATCGTTTGATATTGTTGGCCATTGTAAGGTTGGTGATTTTAGTTGTTGGTCTCTGAGGACCCGGCTGATGACCAATTTAGTTCACAACCGTTGTCTAGGAGCATTTTCGAATGATACACACCTGACGCTTGCGCCTATCTAACGTTTTCTCTCCCTTAGACAGGAGCGTGGCAGACGCGTCGTTTGTGACTGCCACAGGCGCATCCAACATGAGCCGCTGCATATCCTTTTATTGATCACCAGAAATACGTTCCTCTGTCCACCCCAGGGCGGACTTAGGATCTCGGGACTGTCGCCTGCCTGCAGCGGCCAACCAACCCAGTCTGGAGGATGAAGCTTGAAGGGGTGTGGCGAGAAGGCGCGCTTGTGGCTGATGATTGTTTCTTCGGCAGACGCCGGGCCACGCTCTCGATGCATGGCTCGAGTTTTGTCACTATTATCGCGTACTTCACAGTCGCAATTTGCGGTAACACGTCGCGGGGCAGGACTGAAATGCTTCATGCGTAACTACCTACACACAATCCATTTCCCGTCTTGTCCTCCTCTAGAACCTCGCCGTCCCCACCACCTGTCTCTACTCGCGGATGAGCCCCAGCAAGCCCTTGCCTATCCACCGGGTGCCCCCGTCGCGGGGTTCACGTATCCTGGACGCAGTCAAAATGATGAGCGACCGTTGAAAGAATGAGCGGGCTGTCTGTCACGGCTTCCTGGGATAACACGTAGCAGGGCATATACCGGTCCACCAACCTATTTATGAGCAGTGATCAGAGGCCGCGGAAGGAAGAATTCGAGGGATAGAGGTATATACGCCTTGCGGCTTCGTCGCTCATGCCCTTCCGCCGTTCTTAACTTTCATATTGTGCAAAGCCAGCATACGCCCCCCGCTACACTGACACACCACCACGGATTGAGCGGTGAGGGTATCGAGAGGGCAGTTGACCGCCTTCGAGCACTCTCTTCGCCGCTCCAGTGCTTGTGGTCGTCTCGAAGCGGCCTATACCATAACAAACGGAACCGGCCCCATCGTTTTGCGAAGTGCTGGGAGTTGTTTTTTTGTCACAGGCGCGCGCTTACAGCCGCTTGCAGATCGATAGACCATCAATTCAGAAAACCACGTATAGTCGGAGTGGGTCGTAGTGGGTGCCAGGGACGTCGGAAGAAGGTAGAGAAGTCCAGCTGGTCCGATTTCTGTCTCTCGGGTACTTGAAATTGCTTGTCCGACGTGGTCCGACTGTAAATGATTTTCAGAAAGTGGGCCCATCGATCTGCAAATGGCTGTAGTTGTTCTCAGAGTCGGCTAACCCCGAGAAACGCGGAGTCTGTGAGTCACCAGCTGCAGTCGCCAGCCGTAATGATCTGAAAGGGAGGAAATCGACGGTTGCCGTCTGTGTACATAGCGCGATGAAGGGGCTAGCCATCCCCTCGAGCGGCCTTATGTACAGTGACCTTTGCGACTAGATTACTTTGAGAGGAGCAGCTCGTCGAGATCTTGCCTGACGAACATATACATAGGATGGAACTGATTGTCTCTAATCATGATGCACTTCTCCCCGGGTTTTGATAGTTGGGCTTCCCTGCGGGTCCTCTTTACGCATCCATCCTACTACGTTAGTTGTCGCCTGAAATTCATGCGTGAACCTCGGGCCCTCAATCTGATTCCAAAATGACTGGCTACAGCTCCTATTACACTGCTACAGAAGGACGGATGGATATAGGGAACTAATGCGCACACGTCGCAAGCTCCACATGGAACTTTATCATTGACATGTAATTTGTCCAGAGAGACGGCGGTCCCTGCAGCTAGCACCTACAGTAATGCCGAAAGCACCTTGTGGAATCTCCCACCTCTGCATCTCCACATTCTAGTAGGACAGATCGTAAAGGGAGGGGGGGAAGGTAACCTGCTTGGATTGACCTGGATTAAAGGAAGATGGAGTCGAAGCCTCTCAAGAGGTACGGGGGATCGTTTACAGAGGAAGGCATGGTAATGTACAGTTGCGGTATCTGTTATGAGTCAACCACTGCTCAAATGCAGTGGGGCGACTGACTTCATGCCCGGCCAAACTGCCATTATCGGAGAGGGTGCAGGACACCGACACAGCCGCCTTGTGCAGTCTATCTCGTCCAAAGCGTCCATGGTGAGCCACAGCGTATGAAACAGTGAAACAGCACTGACGCTGGATCGAGAGAAGCCCCTGCAACGGTCGCGTCATAGTTGGACCCAGAGGATAACGAGCCATCCACGCTTAGATCCGAGTAATCAAATGTCGTATACGAGAGTCCGAACCCAAACCCATACTGAGGAGCAATGTTGGCCTGTCAAGATTTATAAATGAAGGTTCACACGTCCCAAAGCTGTGATCCATACCGAGTCGAAATGGCGATAATCGATGAACGTGCCTTCGTTGTAAGGGATCTGAGTAATCGATGAGGAGCTGTGGAAGTCGATTTGGGCAGGGTAATCCCTCTGATTTGTGGCGACAGCGTAGGGCAGCCTTCCGCTACGATGAACGGTTTTCAGATAGCTGTAGGGTTCGCAGCCATATACTAGACTTACCTTGGGTTGTAATCACCCCACGATACGTCCACAAGCAATTGCCTACTCATATGAGCGCTTGACGTTACGACAGCAAGGTCGTGGCACATACCTGCTTCCTGGCCGGGTACGCCACTCCAAATCTCGCACAACATTAGCGGATGAAATTTCAATATGTCAGCCCACAACTTACCAAAGCCGTGACTGGCAGGCGACGAAAAGGGTCAGATGATCGTCAGCTACAGTCGGGGCCGATGCCTCTTACCATTAGAATGGTCAATCCATGCTTCCACGAGGACTGGGCCGACTGCGTTCACAACGCCAATGGTGTTATTGGTCAAGGCTGCAACTGCGTTGACCAAAGAATACTGGTCCAACATTAGAAAGGTCTCCTAATCTCCAAAGAAAGACTTACTTCACTGTGCCACGCGCTGAGGTTATTGCGGTCACCCGCCTTGCCTTCGACTGTGAGTGCATGTTCACCGCTATCTGCATTGATAAAGACGAGCGCAAGTGTCGCGCCGGTCGCCGCCTTGGCCGCGGCGTCGAGGTCGATATCGCTGAATGAGGAGACGACCGTGGTGTTACTCTCTTTTGATCGATTGGTTATGGCATCCACGGGCTACAAAGGGAGCCTTCACAAGATCAATTCTCGGGTATTCCAATCCACACTCACGGCGATTAGATACGGATAATTCGCGGTTCTGACAACGAACTTATAAGCTCTTCGACCTCTCACGATCATTGCTAACGCTCACCCGCTACCCCAGCCCGTGTCGAGCACGCCCTCATCGCGTGTCTGGTAAGGGCAAGTCATTAGTACATTTCGTCGGAACTATACCAACGTGTGCTCACGTATTGAACACAGACCTGTTGAACCCAGTGTCGTCGCCTTGGCAGCGGTAAGCATCCAACGCCGTCAACGTCAAGATGTGACTGCCTGACATACCTATGACCGCGATTGACCTCGGCGATGCCAGCGGCAATACGCCACTATCATTCTTGAGGAGAACGGTGGCGGCGGCGTCGATGGTCCTTATTAAGCAGACAGACAGTGAGTCCATGGCAGCATGTTTCTTGTAGTACGTGGCGCCTCGCCTCGCGTGGTCGCTTTGAACGTCAGGCCCATTCGGTCAGACTTCTAGGTTCGGGGTATTCTTGGTCTTGGCCAAGGAGATAGCTGTCAGGGTATCAGTAACGTTCATTTATGGGCTAATATGGCATTCGAAATGGCGCAGTTGCCTGACATTAACAGCGGACTCGCTGACGTTTACGGCCTCGACAGCGGAAGTCAATGTGTCTCTGAACCAGCTAGCGGAGATGAAAGAGATATGACGAAATCTTGTGAATATCAGGGGAAGGATATTCACTCCGCTACACTAGGTAATATAGGACCGGGCATCGTTACCTGCGTTATGCATGACCTTTGTTATTCAGGCAAGCATCCTGACAATGACTTACGTCGAGGCCGTGGCGAGCCAATCTACGACAGCGACGAGGTAAGCCAGAATCCGGTGAAGGGTATCTTCTGAAGTCGCCGACCTGACATAACGGCTAGGACTCTTTGATCAGGATGGTGAAATGAGCAAAGAATGCCAGACAGACAGACTCACATGCGCGGAAGCCTAGTTCGCCCTTGAGGTATTGATATAGTGTGGCGATATTCTCGCATGCATATGTTCCGTTCACTGCAACTTGTCAAGACCTTCTCGAGCTGCATCAAAAGGGAGTACTCGCCTTGGTCTCTGCAGAAACAAAAATTGGCTTAAAGTCGCGCGCAGCATACGTATATCTTTTCAAGGCTTACTGTAGCTGCACATCACTGATGCTACATTCGCTTGGACGCTGCGGAGGAACTGTGCAGGTCGATATTGGTCGCGTGATGGCATTAAAGAGGAAAATGTTCATTTCTTCGTATGGGCACTGGTTTATATACGCCCAGCAGGTGGTAGACTAACCGGTAGTGCGAACGACTTTCTCCTTCAAAATGAGATTGGCGAGGGCTGCTTCGGCCTTTCGAGAGTCGGTCAACCCTCCTTCGGACATTACCGTGTCGGGCAGCGCACCTTGGTATAGGCATCATCCACTCTTGCGAAGCTGCTGTCACAGTATATAAGAACTAGCAGTTGCATCTAGTCTGATTTCAACTTTGCGTAATGATATCACGGTGTTGAAGGATAACCATGACCGGACGACTCACCACGCTGAGCAGTCGCGAAAGGTAGGAGAGCAATGAGAGGCAACAAGAACACGGTAAGTCCCACCGGTTGAGTGAGAGCGAGAGTGCTCCGGTCTGCGGTTGGCGGTCACAGTAACGGGTTATATATATATATCGTCTCAAAAAGGCACAATATGGTCGCGGTTCACTGTTCCTACGGACAGTCGTCGTCCGATTGTCCCAATGGAAGGCTAAACATGCTCACCTGGGGACGGTCGGCTGAGCCCAAGGGCAATTCCACTGTGTGAAATCGCTCCCCCTCTCCCAACGCAAGTCTTCATGAATGACAAACCAGCCTTAGTTAAGCTTTGCTGCGACGGCATCGCGGCATACTGACTCAAGGCTCTCCGGTGTCGCGGGTTGGCGTAATTTGTCTGTGGCGCAGAGTGAAGAAGGGGCTGGCACAGCGGAGTTGAAATCCGCGTAAGAAAGATGCGCGTGCAACGACTGTCCAAGGCAATCGCCAGTGTTACAAGGTTACATCCCACGGGACGCACCTGAACGGATATCACGACGTCGGTGCAACGATTCTGAGTGCACCTCAGGACCGTCGGATACATGGTGATACCAAATATTGTGAGGTCACCTGCAGATGGAAGAAGTGTTTCGGACCCGACGCAGAAGCTGGGGCTGTGAGAGTTGTGCCTGAGGAACACCAGCTTCTGGGCTGCAATATTTCTGTGGAATGTGGCTGAGGAACCATCTGCGGGACCAACAAGCAGCGATACATGGCGAAGACAGCGACAGAGAACATATACTTCGCGAGAACGACGGCTGCATTGTCCAATAACTGCTACAGACGAGCATAGTGTATATGTCAGCTCTCAACGATAGAAGTCCCGCTCTTGTCCACGGACAGCTTGATTCTATCGCCTTTGTCAAGGTCTTTGAACTGAGGGGGTCTTCGAGTCAGATATCGCAAGGCACAATCACGACGAAGCCCACCGTCAATTCCCTCGTGCGATGCAGTCCTTCGATTTCGTCGATCCTGTCACGAACATCGTCAAGCAGCTCGTCAAACCCTTCTTGCTCGACTACGTCGCATGCGGCGTGCAGGATAAGTTCAGAGTCGGGGCGGACGTCGTGGTGGACCTGCTGATTGTTCACCAACCCGCAGAACGAGGACAGTGAAATGGACTTACATCGATGGCGATGATATTTGCTCGGTCCAAGTCTGTCACGTAATTCAGGACCATCAGACGGAAGAGGGAGAACCCACGCACCTTCCATGAAATCTGCTCTAGTCATAATCTCTCTGCATTTCCACTGGACAAAGCGAATCAGAGAAAGGCGTGAAAATGACTGAAATCCTACTTACATAAGGTATGGAAGGCAATGGGATATTATCTCCTACTTGTTCCCCGGCGGCGAGCTTTTCTGCTCGTTCCCGCTCTTGTTCACGTCTCAGCTTCACGAACTCTCTTAACAGAAGCCATGTACAAGAGCTCCATTTTTGCTACACCATTGTTCAATGCCTGCACCGATATCAGGCAAGACAACCCTGCAGCGGCGCACCTCATCCATGACGTCGTCGTCGCAATCAGGGATGAGCCCAATCTGACTCAACAGCCAAGCCTTCTCGACGTCTTTCAGGTGATTAGCCGCGCCGAGCATGTCCCGAGCCCGCGAGACTTTGTTCAGGTACGAGAGGCGTCCGCCGATGATCCCCAGTGCCTCGCGCACGACCTTCTCGCCTGGCGACGGCTGCTTCGCGTCCATGCGCATTTTGGTTGAAGCACGCAGGGCCTCGCGTTGATCTAGGTCGTAGATAGAAAGCACCTGGCGAATAATGAGTAACGGACTGTTAATTGGGGGAGTCTGCGCCCTATACTGCTAACCTGCATACGACTGCCCGATTTTCCTACCAAACTGTTAGTGCTATATCATGAAATATTCAGTCATGCTCACTCAGCACTTGGTAAGGCCAGAAGTCGTCACTACGTACAAGTTAGTAAAATGTCGACCTAGATCAGTCAGGTAACCAACCTAGTGAAAACAACGGTAAGGATGCCTTTAAAAAGTCAGCTACGAGAAATAACGTCAGGGAGACGGGCCGCATATAGGCACCCACCACTCGCAGCCCACGACTCGGCGTGTTGTTGCAAAAGCAAAAGCATATTCCTGCCCTCCTCGTCGTTGTGGAAAAAGTGGATATTATTGAAGACAAGCACCAGTGGCTTCCTTCTCTTCTCCGAGCATCGGAGCGCGACCTTTTCGACCTTATTCATCGCTGGGAAAGGCTGTCAGACCGTCCTCGGCCCCGCCATGGCGCATATACTCACCTCTCTCAATGTCCAATGCCGGTCCGCCTAGCATACATCATGTAAGAAACATCTGATGCAACGCTATTAACAGGATAAACCTTCTCGCGGGTCTCTCCGCTGGAATAACCCAGTCTGCGAGTCCTCGTAGAATTCGAAGTTCAGCGCTTTGCCCAGGCGAAGGCGGAACACCTCCAGATCTGGATGGGCATCGCAGAACGCGACACCATCCGCCTGTATAGTCTGGATAGCGTCAAATATCATCGTAGTCTTACCCACACCCTGCCATATCGCACGCACACAGTCAGTCATTGTCACCACACAGAACCGCGTCAATCCAACCTTAGGGCCGAGCAAGACGAAATAATGTCCAGTCTCCCTACCCTTGATCACGCGGTCGATGAGGTCCTGCTCTTTCCGGCGCATATGCTCCGTCCAGGGCACGTCATTGTCGACCTCGAACTCGTCGTACGGAATGGGGCGCTCAGCGCTGCGTTTCCCGTGGTTCGCGAGCTCGAGCGCGGGGTCGTACCCCGCAGAGAACGCCTTCTCGATCTGGTGTTAGAGTCCGCAGTCAGGCGGGCTAGCTCGCTAACGTAAGACGAATTTGGAGACCCGAGCATACCTTGTCGAGCACGTTCTTCTTGTACCAGGATACGTACGCCACCCCGCCGACAAAGACTAAGAAGCAGAGGAGTAAATGAGACGCACCGCATAAGACAGCAACGAAGCACCAGAGTGCGAGACAAGGACAACGGGGGAGTAAGAACCTGATGGTTCCTCGCTGGCTTTTGCCCTCCGCGCGCATCGTCTCCCCCTTTCGCGACAGCATAGACCATGCACTGACCTATCATCAACCCCACCATAGTCGTAATCGCCGCGTCCCGCAAGCCCGAGCTCGAGAACGATGGGAGCTGCGGGCCAATGTTGATCGGCTGGAACACACCCGCGTCGGCTTCGACATGCTTTTCGCTCGTCTCTGGGTCCCGTGTAATCCTCAGGCGCGGTCGTCGCGGTGCTCTGCGACCAGTGGTACTCGCGAACCGCGCATAGCTGGGGCTTCGATAGTTATCGTTCCGCAGAGCCGCTGTAAGCTCAGACCTCAAGCTCTTCGTGGTGAATTCAGCCCGCTGGATATGTCGCACCAAAGGAGATATGCGTGCAACGGAAAGCATAGCGACCGAGTGGGCTCGGAGGACGTGCAGAACGATGTCGGGACATCCTGCGCCACGCTGGCCTCGGACGCGACGCGGCGGCACAGCCATTGTGGATCTTGGCGGACGCCACAGACAGATGTGTCACGTGACTTACCCGTGGGAGGTGTGGCGTGTGTGGCACGAACATCCACTGCACTAAAAGTCCTGTCAGTCGGTCTTGTGCCACATATTTCTTGCAGTTATATGAGTCTAAGAATTCCAACTCTCGCCTCAACCAGCTCCGGCTCTGGTAGAGCCAGCAAGTGGCGTCGCTTAGATCAAGAGGACGTGGACGATCCTCAGCTTTGTCCTACCCGCGTGGTAATATGGTCTTCTTATCCCGAATCTTTTAATTTCTGACGGGTACAATTACTCCCCTTGGCAGTTATTCAACGCATTCGTGACGAGCCCCAGCACCACCGAGGAACAATTACACAAAGCCCTTGCCGCCATGGATGACCTACCACCGTGCCCACCGCTCATCTCGGAGAGGCAGTACCTACAGTTTGTGGTGGATGTCCTTTGTACCGTACGTCCCCTCAATATATATACCGTGATGCCACACACAGAACTGATTTTGCGTTGGTAGCATTGTGGCGGGGGAGGGCCACAGTTCAGGTTTTATGAAACGTTCACGCGGGTTTGCTTTAATTGCTTTGCGAATGAGGAGTTGTACGTGGATGTTGCTCTATCAACCCGGGGTGTCGGGGAAGTTGACTATTTCTTGATTCACGAGATACACCAACGCTAGCAAGATACAGTCCTGCCTGATGAAGGGTACGCTTTACCCAGACCTTGCCCTTGAAGATTACGTCCCGCACATATACCTGCCTGCTAGCCTTAATGGAGAACGTGAGTTAATCAACGAATGGGCAATTATACCATGGAATAGAATCACCTGCCCATGTCTTAACAGATTCCGATGGCCTGACACTTGTCCCTACGGAAGCACTTAACGAGTTTGCGACGTATTTCAATAACAGGGTGCTTTCAGGAAGAAAAGAGGAACTAGATGCCTCCCTTGCGTTCGGTCGGGAGCAGATGACCTTGATGGCAAGAGCATGTATCAATTGTTCTTCCCCCCTTTGCCTTGCATTGACATCGGCTGGGTAACGATATTATAGCATACCGAGGCGACGAGGCAGTGGTTCTGTAACTACGTCAGATCCCGGCATCCACATGCTGAAGACTCAGCGCATCAGGGAGAGAGGAAAGATTGCAGACCGGAGGAGGCCATGGAGAAGGGAGAGTAAGGCAGTCGTCACTACTTCTGCTGTCACCATGAATGGGATCTGTATTTGTATTTCGTCGGGTTTTTTCTTTTTCTTTCTTTTTTTTTCGTGGAGCGGTGGCCCCTTCTGAGCAGATACCGGCCCTACGCCGCCGACATAGTCGTCGGTTACGGGCCCGCTGTTCGTCGGTTTTGTCCAGCTATGATCGTTTGATACAACGTTCATGCGACCGACTTACCGTTGTGCGACCCAGCTAGTGCAATTTTTGCTGCGAGTGAGTTCAGATGACTCTGAGCCAAGCCTAGTCAATTGTTATCTCCAGAGCGCTTGAGAAAGTGTAGACTAGTGGCGTTTCCGAGTCCAGTCAATAATGGAAGTACCGACTCGGAGAAGGATCGAAGAGCCAGCAGCCAATCACAATGGCTGCTATACTAGTACACGTGGAATAAAGCGGTGATCTGAGATAGGCGCAACCAAGTCTTCCCCCGACTCGCAATGGATCGTCTGCGTTACAATAAGGCACAATAAGGCATATAAGTAGCCCGTGTTGAACGAGTCATTTCATTTCAATCACGATCCCGTATGTTAGACTAGGCACGCATATATATACGGGCGACTGTGTTTTCCCAGTCTCGCCATAACCAAACACTCGACCTGGAGTCGGTAAGCATCTGCGGCAAGGCAGCTCGATCGACGATAGTGAAACCCTCCCGTAACAGACCACAGCATCCACATTCGTATCTCAGACCAATTGACAATGTCCTCGAGCCAGTCCCAGACCAAGACGAAGGGGAAAAAGGAGCCAGTCTCGGACTACGAGTTCCTCAAAGCCTGGGGTGGCTGGCACCAATTCATGCTATCGTACAGCCTAAAGCCTTGGGACGACGACGACGTCCAGGAGGCAAAGGAGATCATCAGGCGGCTGAAGGCGAACCAAGAAGAAGAATGAGAGGGCGAGTTTCGGTAAGAACTCTAACACTGATCCTAGGGTTAGATCGAGAGTTGACGTGTAGACAGTCCTTTCCGCCACTTGCCTTGGATTGCTGAGGTTGACGAGCGAAGTCTACATGCAGTGTGCTGTCGGGCGGGCCCCGTACCGAGTCGAGCCATCTCATATTTATCTGTTACCGCTGGTTCGGAAACATTGATGCAGAGACCTTGCATGTTCTTTGTGAGGCGCTGACCAAACCGAGGTAGAGTGCCATCGCAGTAAAGCCAAACAAGCCTGTGCAGCTGAGAGTAAATAAACACTGACCGTTTTGGGTGGACACTCCAGCTATCATGACATACACCAATAACGGACCCAAGATGGCTGATTGCATGACGAGCCTGAATCAGGTGTGAGCGCGAACCAGTTACAAGGTAGCCAAACAAGCTGCCACGTCCTGGGTCGCCATAAGATTGCCACCGACATGATATCGGCTTCGTCGGATATCTCGAGAGCCTGTCCTCCTGGAAGCAAATCGGGACAGCGCCAGAGTCCCTAAGCAAGTAAACGGGTCTCAGCAAGTTTCTAGAAGTACGCACCAGTGTGCTGGCAATACCTTGGGCGCTATTCGTAAACGTCTCCGGAGGAGTATACCCACAGCTGTAGCGAAAGTTCGCATTCCGGGCCGGCATCGCCTCCTAACATGTTGAATGACGAATCTCCAGTAGGACTTCCGAATGCTGATATGGGGCCCCATGTGGGCGCGTAAGAATGCACAATCACCAGAACCAGCCAGCGTACCCATTCTGACGGTGAGGAAAAGCATCGGCTTCGTCGGAAAGCCTGCGAGTTCGCCATCATCTTCTCATACTACTTAGGACCCGTGAAAGGTGGCGTTGTGGGCGCATCTGCCAGTGTAACACCCAAACTCATCCGGCGGTGATGGACCTGCAGTGACATATGTATTGCTCTTTGAACTTCCTATGTTCTTCCCCTAGATATAACGATTAGAACAGGCGCCTAAGAATCAGGACGCACTGCTCTCCAACCAAATGCGGAGGACGAGCGTCTATCAAGCAGGAGTGGGTGACTCACATGTCAACAACCAGAAGCCCAGCTTTATCTCCATTTGCCCTTGGATGCAGTGATTCCTGGGCATAGGGCATCGCGGTGGGCGCTCAGGGTGATCATTTGGACCTGACATTCACATTGAACGGCGTATGTGTGAGATCAGACGACAAGAATGATCGGTGGAGGCGATGTCACTGGAAATACTAACCGTTTCTTGCGCCGCACAGGCGCTTTCGAGTGACCCATGCCGGGAAAATGTCGACGATATACCCCAGTCACGACACAAGCATGATCCGCGCCGCTCGAAGGATAGGATACATACACTGACCTTCACCGAGAATGCCCACTGGCGTGCTCTCCGGTCCGAGGTACCAGCATAAGAAGGATAAGGTTATGATCTCCTTTCTGCTCACTTACGCGGGTATCCTCAGTTCTGATGACGTTTCTCAAGTCCCTGAGAGTGTTCACAGCGCCTAAGAGAGCTTCTTGTCGGCCTCAAGGATAGCCTCGCGCTGCCTTACACGCCGATCCTTGGTGTACTGAGCGAGGCACGGCAGGACACATATCCTGTCCAAAGAAAACAGACCATTATGCGCAACTACGGTCAGATGTCAGCACAGTGAGCTCAGATTGAGGTGATGGACAAAGTATAGACCTTAACCCAGCCCTGTATCACCAAGTCCGAAGTCGCGACGAACCCTGGACATGACGTCCGCAGGGTCGCCAGGCGCTCATCTGTTATTGCCCACCGTGAATTCTGAGAAACCAGGAGAGGTCTGATCCACGCTGCGAGCTTACTGACGCAATCCAAGCAGTTTAATCAATAGCAAAACAAGCTCGAGAGTGTGCCGTTATCGCCGACCGCATGTCGCCGCCGGTACAGTCTGCTTTATTTCAATAGGAGCGCTCGTACGTACGTCGGATTGACGCAGTACGGGCGAGGATTCGGTTTCTCGGACAATAGGTACTTCCGTATGGTGAGACGAGCCCACGCTGTTGAACATGAAGCCAGCCATGGATGGAACCATGGAGAATAATGCAGAAGTCCCAGAGTTGTCTCTTCTGGCAGTTGGTTGGACAATCCTCAAGACTCCGTCAGGCTGGGAGCGTAGGCCGTTGAAAGCTGGAATAAGTTATAATTCAACGAGACATGGCACAACCAGCCCCGAGTTGTTAGAGTGACGCATTTCCAAGCCGTCAATCGGGGTAAAAAGAAGGACAAGGGCATATGGCGGAACGAGGGCGGGCGCCCACACCATCTCACTTCAATTCGATAGGAGGACAGGAGCGCCGGTACGTACATCGGAGTGACGTATTGTGGACAAGGATAGGGTTACTTGTATAGCAGCCGCGCCCGTATAGTAGACGCAGGTAGTCCTCGGAATTGGCATCGGCTTCGTCTGTAGGTAAGCAGCGGGAACAGGAAAACCGGGGAATTTCAGCATACGTAGCGTAGTGTCTCGGAACGATAGTTGATAGCCTCATTCTATGAAGGACTTCGCACTCACAGAGCCCGTGCAGGAAAGCATGTTTGACGGAACAACCAAGAGTGGAACATCGTAGACACGCTTTGAACCCCTAGCAAGAAAACTAAGCGCAAAGATGGTAGCCCTCGATGCCCGCGGAGTGCTCTTACACGACAATGCAGGAGATGAGAGTACAAAGGTAAGGTCGAAAGGCACGGTGGGAGAACCGCATGCAACCGGGTAGTCTGGTAGGAAAACAAGGGTAACGATCATTCCGGCGATTGATGCTGCCTATCCATAATTCCTGAGACGCAGACTTCCCCGCGTTTTCCGTGCGGTTGCGGCAGACGACACAGGACAGGGTATGAACGATATTTCGGTTAGTCCCGTATCGTTGCTGAACCTCGTGTCCTTTCCGTCTCTTCATGCAACACTTCTCGAGTACAAAGAATGTGAACACGTATCCTCGAGATAGGTGCTGCGAACTGGTACCTCACCGAGGGTTCCTTCGTCGCGGGTCTTGTCTCGTGCAACAAAACATCGACGCTGTGCCATTTCTGGTTTACAGAGACCGTGCGGCTGGCTCCGCTCGCACATCGCCGTACGAAGAACAAAGTTCGGCAAGTCTGGAGCGGCCTATTGTGGGTGTACACTGAAGCTAAGACGCGGCAGGATACGAAGGAAGTGGACCTATTGCATGAGGTGACAGTAGTGGTTCGTGTAGCCGCATGATACACATGAGTCGCCCAACTCGCGTGCGGGTGAAGATCATCCGGGCATCGCAGATGAAGTCTTACGGTAGAGCTGCTCGCTGAATAGTCCAAGAAAGAATAGAGGAACAGGTACAGTCCTGCCGCACGACAGGGACTCGAGGGAATCTCATAAGGAACGATCGCCCGAGAACATTATGCAGGTACAGCACCTTCGTGGCAAACATCGATCCTGTCATCCCGGAGGAACCGTCCACTGAGGACCATCCCAGCCTAAGACGAAGTGAAAGGAACGTGCGCCCTTTCAATATATCCTCCCACAGGCCGAGAGACTTGGACCAGATACCCCGCGGTAAATCGGCACGGAAGTCTGACCGTTCGTAGAGGTCGCATCGATACCGAAGCTGCTGAGCAAGCTCTTCCTCCAGATCTCACGTTATTACGTAAGCGATATCGGCAGAGATAGTTCTCGTTGTGGTTCCGGCGGGGGGAACAGCAGCGGGAGACGTCTTGGAGCTCGACCAATGTGGCCCGAAGACGTCTAGAACATCGGGACCGCCTTAGCTCCATGCCATTTAGCTCTCGAGGAGCCGTGGCGGAGCATGATCATGAAGGTGCCTGGCTTGACGTTTCTGGATTTGTCCTGATCTAATCTCGGTGCCGGTCCGCACGGACGCAAAATTGCTGGGACTCCACGGCGGGTGGGTTGACTTGCGACTATGGGCTATCAGATAGGAGGTCGGTGTAGATCAGCAGTTAGGAGAAGGGCGTCTGTGGTGTCGAGTATTGTTCAACCTTCGAGTACCTCAGATGCTATGTTCCGAGGCAGCTGTGATAGATGGGAACTAGAGAAAGACAGTCGTGGATGCAGAAGCGCTCTCGCAAGAAACGAGAAGCCCTGTCCGCCAGATAAGTCTAAAGCCGCAGGTTTTGATACTGAACGCTCTGTTTTCAGGCCCATCGATAGCATCAGTGCATGTCAGCTGACGTCGGAGGTACGGGTATAGGGGACGGACCTCCATCGCAGAGGTCGACGGGACTAGCGAGTAGCGCGAAGAACGTGGATCCGAGGCGAACAAGGCAAGAATGGGAAAGAGGCAAACATAGACCAGATTGAAGCAAAGGACTAATCGAAATAGACCGGACCTGTCCCATGGCTGATTTCCCGAGAATAGACAGTGTTCAGATGTTCTAACGTAGTCCATGCATCATTGAGCTTGAAGTCCACAATGCGTAGAATCAGACGAAGTATCTGACGCATGATCAAGACGTCGCTCCAGTGGAGGTCAGTCGAAGCCACTGCGAGCGCTGGAGCAGTGGCGCATCGCATTTTTGTCGACAACGGCATATACCGTTTCTTTCTGAGACAAGCATCGTTCTCACCTCTCACTACGTCAGTGAAATCTCCTGCTCGAGAGACAAGCTGAGACAAGCCTCAAATGGGACGTTCACCCGACGTCATTGATATGTTTCTGTCAACTGGATGCGATACGCAGTGCTAAGCAGCCGCAAGAGATGCAGAAGATGCCCCACAATTCCTCCGATGTGGCTTCACGAGACAATTGCGCTATGTATATCTTGAGACTGTAATCCAAAGGACCACAGGCCTGTGGTCGCTGCTAATGCTGGCCGAGATCAGTTATCGAGGCCAGCAATCCCAAGACCTTTCAAATAGCAATATCGATGGAACTATGTGCCGGTTAGTACACATCGCCTCTCGCAGTAAGTCCGGAATATCACGCACCGGGCGGAAGCCCATAGAAGTGTATGGCGATGGTTCTTGCTTGTTTCGGGCAGTATGCATCCACGAGTGTCCGGGTATCAAGGAAGCGCTGCTCGCGCATATGTATGTACCGTCATTGTACGGGCAGCGTTGTCTGTGTCGGGCTCGGGCGGTACCTTCGGTTGTCAGAAGCAAGTAAGATAGATGGTCTTCGGGACTGTGAGGCCCTCTTCGCCATCCAACAATCTGAGCTCGACAGTTGGTGATGTAGTGCCACACCCAGGCCTCGAGGCAACCCTGAGCACAATCAGCAGGCGCATCACAGACGACGGTCGCCGTGAACACCAGAACAGTCAGCTGTGTCAGTCAAGATGGCAATTCTTAATTTCAGCAAGCACAGTATGCATCGCAGTCGCAGAGGATGTACCTTGACAGAAAACGTGTATCAAAACGCGTCCACAACAGCTTGGGGAATGATCATACGAGGGTTCCGTGAAATACGAAACCCATGACATATGGTGTCGTACGTTCCATTCGCGGGAGAGAATGCGCAGGAAATGCTCGGGCACACCGCCACCTGATCCCATCGTTGAACTCGTCGGACCGGCGGCTCGTCTGATGAACCAGCGGCGCTAGAGGACGAACCGCCAGATCAGAGGAGATCCAAGCCTGAGTGGGACAGCGGACGCCATCAACATATCGGCGCTAACGACTTACATGCTCGGATGCATGGGCAGAAATCCCGGAAGCTCATTGCCTTCCGCCTGAATCCACGAAGTCTACTAAGTATTCGATACAGCACCGTCAGTCCCAGTCACAGCTCGTGCAGACACCTCGGATAGCCGATTACCTTCAAATTCTATCTCATGCACCGTCTTCTATTGTGATTACAAGGCAGACGCTTGTTCCAGGTGCAAGCGCGCAAAGCAAAGATTGATCTTGATCAGAAGCGCCAACAGTCCAGCGGGCGCTAAATAAGGTTTTAGGCTGGCAAACGGTATCATGAGCGCATGCGCAGGTTGAGTTCTCATTGCATCATGGGCTGCGAGGAGACCATGCCACGCAAATTCTGAGTAGGTCTAGAATGCACTCCAAGCCTCTACTTACCTTCGGAATCTACAGGGGCCCACTGTGTCCCAGTGGTCAGTAACATCCCGGGGAAGCCCCAAGACCTACGCATGCACTGCTTAACTTCCAAATTACCTTTGCTCCATCGCGCAGTGACAGTCAGCACCCGTAATACCACGACGAGCTTGGCGTTCGCGCCACCACTCCAGGGTGTCCCGAATACCAACCATAAGAGCAGTACGCAGGCAATGACGCCTTGTTCTCATTTTGGCTGTAAGTTTATATGTCCTTGTAAGTTACGCCTTGGAATTCTCGAGATATACCCGGCGGTTTCGGGCAGAGCCTCGGAGCACCCCATTAATCCTGGCTCGGAGAACGTTCTTTGACCTCCTAGGCCAGAGGTGACGACCTATCTGCGAGACGACACGACGGGTGGCGATACGTGTCTAGTCTCTGCCCTTTATCCAGCCTAACCATCTCGTTCAACAATCCAAACTTGAACACAGCACCGCGATTGTTGCCTGAGTGGCGTCATTTCTTTCGGGAACAACCGCTGCATCCATCCATCCATCAGCATTCTCAGATCCCGAAGAACAAGACCAAGAACGCGAACAAGAACAGACCCAGAACAGGCACCGAGGAGCACAAGGGAACGCGAAGAAAGCAGTGCATGAATTGCAAAAGCGAGAGGTTAATGCTCGAGCGAAGGTACCCTTTCCGGGTAGCACTCACATGCCCAGGTCGAACGTGCTTCCTTTGAACCCATGAACACTTAGCATCTGTTCCGTCCCGGGGTCATTGATAGCAGAACAACTCGGCGGAGCGGAAGGCGGCGGCTTTGTGTTAAACGATAAAGGGAGATTGGCGGGAGGCAGTAGTGCTGTACATAGTTGGTACCCTTTCAACACAGATAGCTTAGGGAGCGATCTCGGACGAAAGCTGTGCTTGATCCAAGAATCGAGTGGTCGTCTACAATTGGGAGGACTACAGCCAGCGTTATCGGGTCGTCGCTGCACCTACCTGATGAGTCTATGATTATCTGTTGCGCTGGATGGACGTCGGACGCTCGTGATACTGAACGCCAAAGGCGCAGCGCGCCCCTAATATGCGGGGCAGTTCTACCTGCATGATGCATCGATGGCTTGCCTTGACCCGCGTCACGCACGGCGAATCTCGCTGCAGCAGTCCCTACGCCCGCGACCAATGACTGCCCAGAATCGATTCAGCCAGACGGATGCGCCCGGTATATTTCCGTTATAGACGAACCTCGAGGCACAGCTAAAGTTAAGTTCCAGCCCAATCAAAGTGTACAGGTCCCAGTTCCAGGTTTCGCTGGCAAGATCCCAGAACGTCTATGTTATGAATCCATCTGTCGATCCCTGATCCATCATGGCAGTAGGCACTCTAAGCCCGTAGCGTAGATTGGGGCAAGCCGGGTAGATAGGGAAGAAGCGAAACACGCTCTCGGCGCTCCAGTCGCAATTCAATATGCAGTGTGTCTTCAAGTTCATAGATGCGTGGATAGCAACAGGGACAGCAGTCATCCAGCAATTCTCTGTATTGGAGTCCCGGCACAGCACACCGTTGTATGAAAGCGGCGGCTGCGGTGAACGGATAACACGAGATGAAATGAAAGGAAACGGAGAATGAAGGATGGAGAACGCTGACCATAGACGCGGTATATTTAGACAGGGAGGCATGTGACCGCACTCGGGACGGACGGGGATATACTTGGATATTCACTTGTGGGGCCGGGAAGTAGGTCGTTGTAGGTCCATCCGTGCCAGTTTGCCAAACTAATGGAGAGACCAAGCACCCGAGAAACTCGCCGACGTAGGCCATTGGCAACACCGGGCACTGGCAGGACTGATCCGCATGCTTACAAGTAAGCGCGAGGTGGATACTGAGCACAGGAGGCAGGAACGAACTCGCCATTGGCATGCATAGCCTGCGCGAAAACTTCATTGTCGTGTCATAAAAACACACAGTGAATCTGTGTGCCCAGGAAACAACCAGGAAATCTATGACGCAGACGAAAATAACACACCGTTTGGTCGTTGCGCGGAATGCTATGGAGGAAAACGCGCGACATGCTGGCGTGTTAGATGGTCTGTGAATGTAAGAGAGAGTCCGAGGGAGATCGGTGCACCTGATCTCGTCTTGTGAAGACCAGCAGCGACCGTGGAATCCGACGCGCCGTAGATCTTGCCACGGACGCTCGGAAGCCTTCGATCTGCACGGCGCTGAAACCTCTGCGGCAGCCTGTATTGCATGCGCTATGTATACAGCACGAACGGGAGAAGGATCGACACTGTAAGCAAGCCCGCGGGATGAAGATCCGGATGGCAAAGGAAGAACAGGACTAGGTTGAAGGGTGCCTTCGAGATGTGAAGGCAAGTAAGGTTGCGGTAGATATACGATACGAACCTGTCCTCGGATGGCACTATCACCTGAATGGATTGTGTGCGAGTTCCGAGCGGTCAATGGGAACTGATCGATCTGCTGGTTCTGCCGAGAGCGTATTTGCAGGACGTCAAGTGCATTTGGCCGTTGGCTGGCAAAGTATAGGAGCTCCATGATAGCCAAGTACGGGACGCAGGAGCGTATACAGCGGATGTATCAAGTGGACGTGAGGAACTGAATGGATGAAACCGAGCGATCAGTACGGGAGATATCATAGCAATTACCAAGTTTGGCATTTCCCGAAGTGCGCGACTGGGTGGCAAGTGCAAAGCGGCTCGGTGTGGAATGTCGCCGTGCCACACGCGACATCAACAAGGCGAAGATCTCAGAACGAGAGTGGCAGACTGTGGCAGCGACACCGACAGGAGGCCGTGCAGTGCGGCGCGCCTGGTTCGGGCTGGGTGGCACGCCGGGGGCACTCTGGTTCGCCCGATACGGTATCCATACGGGCGGATCTGCCGCACTGGATCTTGGGGAGCTCGGGCCGCAGGCGTGGACAAACCTGAGTCAGCAAACCGCACGCTAAACTGGCAGGAGTCTCTTGACCCGACAACGATACCCCGCTTTCAAGGTGGCAGTGGCACAAGTCGCCATACTCGCAGACACTGCCTGGATCGGATTGGTATGTGCCGATACATCACCCCGATGCAAAACTTACCGGCGCCTGTGCCATCCGTAGGGATACAGTCGACTCTGTCTTAACCCATAACGGGTCGTGGAACCCAAAAGTTATGGGTTTCTGCAGACTATGGGTTACCAGAATGTGTGACATTGTGTGACTACCTAGTAAGCGTGACAGACAGCCTATCCGGTATAGGCCGGACGTCGTCTATGACAACGTTTAGATACGGAATCTTAAGTCCGGTATGGGTTATCTTCTGAAATACCACGAGAACCAAAAATAAAGGGTCCAGATGGTTCAGATTCTCGTGGGAAGGAGACCTGTACCTTCCTAATATAGGTTGTTTTATGGGTTATGACCCTCCAAAAAGCTATGGGTTATGGGATACGACAGACTTATGGGTTTTTACTATCTACCATGTTGGTGGAAGCCAAAAACCTATGGGTTATTACAGGTTATGGGTTATGACAGGTATGGGTTAAGACAGAGTCGACTGTATAACATCGCGTCGCTGCTGTCTCCTGTGTCGCCTCGTCTCCTCTTTCCATCCGTCTGTGGCGCGCGTCGCACTCCCTGCTTGCCGTCTTCTACGTACACCGGCAACTTCCCCGGGCATTACCTATCTGTTCAAGCGCAAGCGAGTGTTCTCTGATCAAATCCGCCAGGGACCCTCGTTGACTGCTGGACGCTGCAGAATCCCATAAAGAGGCTTTAGTCGCACGGTAAGTTTTGCGGTTATTTTCGATCGGTGCCTGCGCACGGACGGGGAAACCAATGATACGGTTGCGCATAAATCCGTTTATGGAAGTGCACCCCCTGTTAAACCAACATTTTTCTGATGGAGGCCGGTGGCTCGTTGTGTGTGGGTGCTGATGGCAAGTGGCTCCCCGGACGCGGCGTGGCAGATATATTGGAATAAGTTCCGAGAAGTTCTGGCAGCGTGTTTGCCGTGCTGGCATCGAATAATCTTCACGCTATCCCATGCTTCAGGGCCTTCTGCTTCGCTAACACATCCTTACTCTATATATACGGTCGCTGACTCTCCGTTCCACAGCCCTCTATTGACGCCTTCCCACCCGTTTCCGACAAGTCCGATTTTCCCTAGAACATGGCTGCCGTCCACGGTCCCGTCATCGCAGCCCATCCGTCGCCGTTCAGGTCGTCCCACCCGACGCTCTCCCGCTCGACGTCTGCCGCCATCAAGGTGAACCCGGCCATCCACGCATCGACGAGCATCAGCCACCCATCGAACCCGCCGGCACAAACCAATCCGAGCAGTAGCAAGGTAAGCACAAAATGAACCGCTCGTACAAGGCCGGTTGTTGACCATCATCTAGCCAACCCCTGCAGACCCGTTTTACGGCCACGAGTCGACCGCCAAGTTATGTGCGCGGTTCGTCACGCACTTGTTTGCCTGCCCCGACTACCCGCCACCGTCGACGACGACGTCGCCCTCGACGCCCTCGCCCCCGCTGGCGAATTTTATCGCCTACGCCCTCCACCGCACCCGACTACACTCCTCTGTCACATTCGCCGCGCTCTACCTTCTCCAACGCCTAAAAGCCCGCTTTCCTGCCGCTCGCGGCTCCTCGGGCCACCGACTCTTCATTTCTGCGTTCATGATCGCGTCCAAGGTTATCTGCGACGACACGTATTCGAACAAGTCGTGGTGTATAGTGGGTCAGGGTATGTTTGCGTTGCGAGAGATCAATCAGATGGAGAGGGAAATGTGCAGCTACCTCGAGTGGGAATTGAACGTCGAGCCTTCCCTGCTCAAGGAGTTCGAAGCCAAGGTGAAGAAGGACTTCGCTGGTGCGGGACCCTACCCGACCTACACCGTGCCGCCACCCCTCTCGTCGCAGCCAGCGCAGCCCGTCGTCCCCGACGTCAACGCACCGCCGCTTCCCCCCTTCATCCACGAATCCAGTCGGAAACCCTCTTCCCCCAAGCCGTCGTCGAACCCGCTGCCGCCACCACCCGTCCCCGTCCCCACCCCCTACGAGAAACCATACCCTACCACCCCACCGCTCACCCCCGACACGCCCTCTTCCATGTACTCCGACTCGTCCTCGCCCATGTCCTCCTCGCCGCCGACGCCGCCGGATGGCGGCGATATCATCATCGACCGCAAGCTGCAGCTTGTCTCCGACGCGAGCGACAAGATCCGCACGGCCGACGTCGTCAAGGCCCTACCGAAGTCGAAGATCGGGCGCGAGGCATTCGCGTTCGCCGCGCCGGCGGTCTGGTAGGCGCGCGGGGCTCTGTCTTGGGGGTGCTGCTATCTCGGGCACGTCTGCTGTCAACGTTTTGGGCTTACTTTCAGGCTGTTCTTTTGCTTCCTCTCCAGCATTATCATTGTCTGCTATCATGGGCTCGACTGTTTGCCTGTCGATATCTATACGCTATGGCCACCCGGCAGTCTCGATGGCTCCCCCGGCGGCTCCCTAATAGACTAGCCAGGCGCCGTATTATCCTGGCGCCTCTGCATCGCATCGTTCCCCACAACTGGACTGATTTATTATTTTCATTCTCCCTCTCTCTTGTGTCATCGTCGCATATCATCTTCTCGTGCATTTCTCCTTCACTGTCATCTCACTGTCAAATGCTCGGCTCCTCACGCACATGTACTTTTACCATTGTTAATTATGCTCGCGTATGCCATGGGCCCATGATACCGTCACGTAGTAGTATGACCTCGTCGTTGTTACATCCGGATACACACAAACCTATAATACATACAATAAAAATTGCGGATAACAGCTATTCTTTGCAGTGCGATGGTTCTTGGACTTGCGACGTCAACTCGACGCACTGGGACTTAGACTTGGTGCAACTTCGGCCGCCCATGTATTTGGCTACTAGGATGCCCATCCCTGCGATCTGTCAACAATAACTCGGACGGCACTTCATCGTTTCCTCCCTGGGCTTAGCACGGCGCACTAGCGGCGCCGGATATGATAGGAACGACATTGCTTGTCTTCCGTTCTAAGCCAATCCGTCCGTACAATAGCCTCGTGGCTTTTGTAGGCGCATCCCTTTGTCCCTCTTACGGCGCACCACGCCCCGCCCTCGCAACTTTGTATCAATCAACGCGTGCTGGGGTGTCGCGACGCCAGCCCGACTGCTCCCGACGTCGTCGCGGGGTCTCCGAATAGCCCCGCTAGCTGACAATGACATGGGCAAAAATGTGGCGGGAGCCTGTTACGTAGGGCACCTATCGTAGCTGCACGCGTTCCATCGGAACCCTCTGATACACGCTCGGATGTATCTGAAGTCTTCCTCCATAAAGTTCCGTGCTATTGTCGGAGGCCTGTTCTCGTGCTGACGGATATGAGGACGCAAACGGCATGACGGGAGCGGAGGGAAAGAGGGTTACTCCAAGCTATGGCGCTTAGGCTCTGCAATATCATACATGCTCAGACTGCGACGTACAGCGAGCTCCCCGCTGAAGACTCCGAAGTCTTTGGGCAGCGGATGTGATTGAACACAGAGTATCCGGTCCGAGCGTCGTCGACTACATAGCGATAAGCGTACAAAATCACCTCTTCACCCTGGTCTCACCACGTAAAGTTCAGCTACCGTTCTTCGCACTCTCCGAGATCGTCATCCTGGCAAGTAGACATGTGGCCCGGGATATCGAGCTCGCAAGACAGATCCATGATGCCAGTGCCGGGCGCGTGCTAGCTTACGATTACAGCACATCAAGACATCCAACCTAATCAAGGATTTACTGGTATTCTCGAATCTCGAAGGTGGGCGTCCGGCTGCTAGAAATCTCCTCTCGGAAATAAGACAGCCGGCTTTGGTTGTAGCTGTGCAAGTACGCCGGAAAGGTACACAGTCGCGTTTTGCAGGTTGGCGTCGCGCCGCAATACAAGGCTCTTATTATCAGTATCAGGCTGAGCAGACTTGCCGACGAGGTGCACGAAAGTAAGTATCGGAGAGATACATTTCTACGACACGACGTATTCGAATACACAAGGTGATCGTGCAGTGAGGAGGGGCACCCCCGCGTCCCTTGATCCGCGAGGACTATCATTCCCGTTACTTACGACCCGCTCATTGCCTTACCCGTATCGTCTACACCTACTCGTCCAAGCCCGGTCCCGTTCCTGCATGTGGTAGCCTCGTGGCGGCGGCGGTCAACAATCTCACATGCTTATCTCCTCCTCGTGTCGATCGCACGTCGCTCGGCGCTGTTCTTTTAATTATGGACTATGGACGTTGCGGGGCAGCGTTACTCGGTTCGGCCGAACGTACTGGTGAAGGGATCTTGCCGTTATGACAAGAGCGTGATCCATTCCGAGGGTCCTAACATCGACAGTGCTTTGCGTTCTAGGGTCTTGCTTCGAGTCACTGGTCCGCACAGGTTAATTCACTGGACAACTTGCAACTTGATACTACTTGGCTGCGGTGATCATCCCGAAATGACGAAGGCGGCCGTCCCGCATCTGTTTCGTTTGAAGCACTCGATAAAGCACTTTGTATCGAACAAGGCAGACCTGATGTCGGAAAAATCAGAAAAGCATGATATTGCTATACAATGCCAGATAATGCACTGATAAGTCAATCAGGTTCGAGGAGAGTTATCGGGTTCAGAAATGATCGAAAAGCGCGTATAAGCCTCCGTCAGGCTGATCAGGCCTGACGGGGGTTACAAGCCATTATAAGGCATGATAAGCCCGGATAAGGCCATGGGTCCCAGAAATGAGAAAAAGAGGAGCCACTCACGCCACCCGATGGTCATCGACACCACTATCTAAGACGTCACTTTAATACATGTACTTTGACTTTGATTCGAACGAGCGGCCTTGAGTTGAACGATGATGATATATGTAAAGACTCACGATATAACTACTACACTACACAACAATAGCTGTGTAAGTCTCACATTGGTATATATATATCATACATACTGCCTTGCCGCGACTCGTAATTACCGTCGCTCGCGCTCACGTCCTCTGACGTACGGCTCTTGTAGATTTCGCCATAACTTTAGACTTAGATTATAATGCTACCGTAGTCAACATGGCTACGACCGTATTTCAAGATGTTTCCGACGTACAGGATCTACTACAGAATTCCTGTGATATTACAGCACCACCAGAAGCCCCTACCTAATCCAAACCTGACAACACCTGATAAGGGCTTATCAGCCTTGAAACATAACATTATAATGCCTGATCAGTCCGTCAGGTTCTGTCAGGGCTTATCAGTCTTTTCCAGATTTTCCGACAGACAATGCTGTTTCAAGGCGACTACTTCCATTGCTGCTCCTGTTCCCTATTCTTGCTCATGAATGGAACTGTCAACCGTTCCGCTGTTGAAAGCACGAAACTTGAACACTTGTGCATATCACAGCATTCGCGCAGAATGTGCTGTCTTTGCCTGCAACTCTAAAGAAAGCCTACATTGTTGTTATATAATCATGCCAGCACGGGGATCTTCGAGCTGGCGCCCACGTATATGCTTCCTACGACCTTATTTTTGTCTCGGGCTACCATTCACTCATCTGCGAATTCCGGTCTTCGAATATTCACATCCAAGTCCGCTGAGAGGTACAGCGGCACGTTTTCCCGTCGTGAAGGGATTGCCCCGGGCCTTAATCCGGTTTACCATACCTGCTCTGTAAGCAAACCCTGCATCTTTATGTAAACACACCGCAGGTATGCAATGTTGAAGAGGCGTATGTTTGACAGGCTCAATACTATCACAACCTCTGTCCCGTATCCTCCCGGTGGACCTGCTGTATCGATGGCGATATAGCCGTGCGGTTCCAATGGATTTTGGATATCGTACAGCGAGGCCTCGCGGTTTACGTTGCCGTTGGATGGGCGTACCGGCTCTCCTATCTAGGCTGTCTGCGATACGTTACACGACTTCCTTGCAACCATGATGGGAAAGTGCGACGCTGAGGCAAACGGCTTGCTTGCTTGCTCGCTCTGGCAGGTCCTGTATCGTTCATTGATTTCTGAAGCAGCCCTTCCTCCAGGGTTGCCTCGGACGTCCACCGTCTGTCGCAAGCTCGCAGAAACGGATCGACTCCCCCGACCTAGGAAACTGAATCGACGTATGGACACGATGCAAGCTGCTGCCCCGCACTGGTCATCGGCCTGTGGACAGCGCTGCAGGTATATACCAGTACCTGTGCCACTTTGTTGTGCGCTGTGGATTGCTAAGCTTTGCTTTCCTGGACATGTCGCGGTCTTTGCTGAGTTGATCCTAGATACTCAATCTTCCAAGTTGATCTGATCGGCCTCGTAACGGTCTCTGCGTTGGACTTCTGGAGACACAGACCTCAATACTAATCGCGGTTTCGCGGGTGTTATCTAAGTGTATAGATAGGAGGATTCACATCTTCAAACAGATGGAAGGTAGAAGAGACACTAGAAGTCTGACTTGTCTTCGGATTCGGCGGCTCAGGGTCATGTCTACACGTCCGTACATATTTTTAAGGTCACTCATCGTCACTGAACAGATATCTTCGAGCCTGTCACGGCATAATGGGGATATACAGACGCCGAAAACGATTCATTCTATACCTCGCTATCTCGGGCCTTCACGCTCCTTGAGATTTAATGGCGAAGATGATTTCTCCACACTGTCTCCAGGAGCATGAAGAGCCCGCAATGCAGCCCGCACTTCTTCACAAACACGTCCGCACGCTCGCCGTTCGTAACCGCCAAAGGTGCGGCCGGAGTCATATTTACCTCCGCGCGTGCTCCCCGGAGCCGGATGACTCGCTCATCCTGCACTATGTGATCACCCTCTTTCGAGGAGCGAGATGTGAAGAACATACGAGCGTTCTGGTGCCATCACGCCGTTAGCGTCTCCGACGGTGACTCGTAAGTGATTCCCAGACGTGCTGTGAAAAGGATCGAGTCAGGCTGCGGTGCGACCTATTATTTGCCCGGATTTGGATTCTACTCGGCCGACTGGGATGGGTGGGTGGTTGGATGGGTGATCATCCACATAACCATCAGAAGGTCAAGCACCGCTCGTAAGGCTATGCGGTCTTCCTTGCGCGATGCGTCTCCGAGCTAACCTAGGAAGCCTTGAATGGGGAGTATCCAGCCAGGGATCCGCAGCTTATTGTCCGCCTCTGTTTGGGAGGCATACACTGAGAGCGCCTCACGAGGAGATGATCTAGCAGCACCGCCGATGCAGCCGATGGAGCACGTCCGACGGGTGGACGAGCGGCGCGGCAAGGGTTTCCTGCGTTCGCTTCCAAATGCAGCTTGAAACGTTCGATCAATTCGAGAAGCTCTTGTAAAATACCCATGCGTCGACGTATTCCTCCCCCTCGCCATCCTTGCTCTTCAGCCTCCCCGCCTTGGGTATCCGCCCCGCCTTGCTGAACCCGAGCGCTTCCCATATCCTGTGCATATGCACATGAAACACGAATTCATATCTAAAGCTAGATGGGCTCACCGGACAGACGCGACGTTGGTCACGTAGACAAGGTTAAACACGCTCGCTTGGTATCCCAGCTGCGGCGCGTAGTGCAGGTAGGAGCGGCCGAGCACGGGGCCGTACCGCCGCCCGCGGTGGGTGGGGGGTATCACGAAGCCGGCGTTGCAGATCTGTTACTCAGCGCGGTCAGTTTGTTCGCCGGGCATATGAGGGAGAAAGCCGTCTAGGTCGATGTGCGACCATCATCGCTGTCATGACTGGAACATCGGCCGAAACCTGGGACTGACAGGTATTCTTATATACAGAGTGTTTGTACCCAGGGATAACGGTGTTCTGACTTGGTCATGTCCGAGGGATGGCCATCAACTCACATGAGATGATCGTCCGGGATAATTGGGCTTCACCTGTGAGCGTATCCCGACCGCAGCGTCACCTTCAGACACCGATTAATCTCATTATCCAATCCAAGCACACTCACGTAGTAAAATCCTGCCACACAGTCCCGCCACTCTCGCGCGCCCTTCGCTTCACCGAGCCCAAGCGCAACCTCACGGCCGTCCTCTACCGTATCAATCTGACTGGTATCACCGTCTCCTACGATCGCGACGAAGACATCGGCAGCGAAGAAATACGCCTCGAACGCCTCGCGCGTGTATACCTCCCCGGGCGCGACCTCCTGCGGGTACGTGAGCCCGCCGTCCACCTCCTCCGCGAAGACGTGCCATAGGTAGTCGAGCAGGTCCTCGAAGGCCTGTGCATGGGCGAGGTTGAGGTGGTGAATGGTCACGTAGCCTGTTGTGGCTCCGTCCTTGGATTGGACCGTCCATGCTGTGGAAGGCAGGACAGTGTCGGGTCGGCTGCGGGTTTGGATGGCGCCGTATGCAGACATTAGTGTAAGCAGCCGAGACTCGTTGCAACCTCAGAAGGGGGAACCACAGCGGTCGAGAAATATACAGCCTTTGACTCAGAACTTTCGAAATTTCCCGTCGGAATTCCGGCGCATGTCCAGTAAATTGCCAGGGTCACTTACACGACCGCTCTCAGCAGATCCCCTTCGTCCGAGTCTTCGACCATCGCTTTCATGCAACACCTCCAGCATTATCAAAGTCTTGCAAAGTAAAATAGCAACGAAAGTGAAGAACAACTACAGCTGAGGAGGGGGACTCGCCACAGTAGTTCCAAAATTGGCGCTGTCGGCGTGTCCCGCAGCGTTTTATTCCCAACGCCCACGCCAGCGTCCAGCTCTCCCCGCCGGCCTGCCCGTCTCCCTTCTGCCCCTTCCCTTACGATATTAAACTACGAGGTGACACGACAGACAAGACAAGATGATGGAGAGCGAGCAGCCCTCAAGTGGGCCCCTGGAACCCGTCATGCAGCACGTCGCGCGGCTGCAGCGGCAGTACCAGCAGCTGCTGGATAGGATCACGCCGTTTGTGATGTATAGGTGGCTGGGGACGGCGGGGTTGCTGGCGCTGTTTGCGCTGAGGATAGTGTTGTCGCAGGGGGTGAGTGTGCTTGTTTGTTTCGCAAGGGATGGCTGTCTAATCTATGTCCGGCGGGGTTACCCTGGTTTAGTGGTATATCGGTGCGTCCGTTGCGCTTGCAATCAGCCATATTGAATTCTGAGAGCTCCCATTCGATCTAGTATGCTGTGAGCCCCTCTCCCTATCCCTGGTCCGGAAACATAGTCCCTGACTTAGTAATGTCCCGAAGACGCTCACGCCATCTACCTCCTCAACCTCCTCCTCGCCTTCCTTCAGCCGAAATTCGACCCGTCCCTGCAGGACGACCTCATGGCGGACGAGATTGAGGAGGGCGGCGAGGACGGGCGGAGCGCGCTGCCCAGCGCGCGCGACGACGAGTTCCGCCCGTTCGTCAGGCGGCTGCCCGAGTGGCAGTTCTGGTCAGTCTGGAGTTCAGCCTTCACTGAAGTTGCGGTTGTGTTGATTAGGTGTGGGTGGGGCGTTAATCATGTAGGTTAAGCGCGACGAGGGCGACGCTGATCGCGCTGTTTTGCACGGTGTCGGAGGTGTTCGACGTGCCCGTCTACTGGCCGATTTTGGTTATGTACTTCTGTGTGCTCTTCTTCCTCACTATGCGCAGACAGATTCAGTGAGTTCCTATCTTTTCCGCTTGCCTAGCATGCCCTTTTCTCCCGGAACGCTGACCCTACCTGCCTCTTTGCTCCAGACATATGATCAAGTACAAATATATCCCCTTCGATATCGGGCGGAAGGCGCGCTACGGGGGGCACAAGTCATGACACATGTGTGCATGCACCTGCATTTGTTTCGGTGCCAGAAAGTATCGTAGATATGTTTAGATGGGATAGGCGTGCCGCCGGTTTATACATATCCCTTAATATGGATTATTTGGTATATCTTCGTCTTATGGGTTTGGTGCGGGCTGATTTCTGTGAAAGCAAGCCGCGGTGCTATATAGGTTCTCGTGCAAGGCATAGGGGGGTAAACCTGTCTTTTGGGTTGATATGACCGAGTTCCAGTGTGATACTCAGGTCTCCACGTAAGGCACAGTCGACTTACTGGTATACCTCGTCTCTGGAGTTGCATTGATTGGTGCGACCGAGTCTCAGGCGTATTATCAGGTCCGTTTACAGAAGATGAGAGGCCCCTGAGCTCCAGCGTGCTCTGCATCGGCGGGGTACTCCTCTCATAGACTTCCACACCGCGAAGCTGGTAGCTGGTAACAGCATTATAACCAATCTGAAGTGCCTCTGGGGCGGTTGTGACTTTACAAATCCAGACGCTTCCACGCTCAATCCCCCTCAGACTTCTCTGCGGGTCCGCGCCGCGCTATATTTGAGATACCCCCTCTTGGATTACCACCGAATGCCCTGGCGAAGTCTCAGCGCCTTTGCACATTACACCTGCCGCTGCGCCTCCCTCCCTTTCCCCGCATTTTACTACGCGACGGCCTTCGCGGTTACGTTGTACGGGCCCCGCTGATGCGTCCCGTCGGACAGGAATCCTAAATTCTGAGCGCGGGGTCTGCGCGTACCCCTCATAAACGCGTGACGTCACGCGTTTCCATCCCAGCGATGGTAACAACTCTTCGAATCCTTGACTCGGGGCCCACTGAATTATGCATATCAATCCGCGTCCGTCCCACGTCTCGAAAGCTTTTCGCGACCAGACGCTGTACGTGTCGTTGCGGGAGACTTGTCGTCAGGAGCCGTAAGTCGGAAACGAGAGAATGCCCGGTTTGCGTGGTGGAAGCGCTTCGTTGCTGGGTAAATTGCGCACATGATTGTTGGTTGACGCATCTTTGCGCTCTCGACGGTATCCGACTGACCAGAAGGGGGCGTATTACTATCACGGGCGTCTGTGTGTTCTGCGAAGCAATATACTTATAGCGGTGGTCGTCAGCCGCTGTCGTTGTCCTCCTTTCGCTCCTTTCGTTCTTCTCCATACCCTTCCGCCTTCTGAAAGATGAGGACTTCTGCTTTCTCGTTAATTCTCGTCGCTCTTTTACCATTTGTAACGGCTCAGCGTGGTGAGTGGTCCTGGTCGTTCTGAGCTTCAGTATATTGATGTGGAGTTTATAGAGTGAATATGAAATGGAAGGCGAGGGATATCACTTATGGGCTGGGACAGCGGCTTCGCAGGAGTGGGACGCGGCATATACGAAGGTGCGCCTATATGATTACACTCATGCCTGACCCTCAGCCTGAGTAGACTTGCCCAGGCTGAAGCAGCCGTCGCCAATCTCACTCTGAAGGAGAAAGTCGTGCTCACTACCGGTCAGTCTGCGTCCTACTGAGTACTAGTCTATCTCATTCTGTCACATAGGCAAGGGCTACTTTACAAGTGCGTCAGCGCGCCGTACGTATAAGTCGGCTCAGCTTAGATTGACTGGAAATAGGTACTTGCACGGGCAACATCGGGTCTATCGACTCAATCAATTTCCCTGGGATATGTCTGCAAGGTGCGCGCCACGCTGTAGGGTGTGGAGACTTGGACTGAGTAGACGCAGATAGCGCTCTCGGCGTGCGGAACACCCAGGGAAACTCGGCGTTTCCTGCGTACGTGACGCATGTACCCCGTTTATTTTGCTGTATCCTGACCATGGGTCTCCTCTTTTAGCGGTATCAATGCGGCCGCCACGTCAGTCCAGTCCCCAGTCCCCAATCCTTACTCTTACTCAGAAAGAATGCTGATTCGGCGTAAAATATGTATGCTAGATTCAACCGCACATTGATGTACCAGCGCGGGGCGGCGATGGGGGCAGAGTTCCGCGGGAAAGGCATAAACGTCCAGCTCGGCCCGTACATGTAGGTTTCCCTTCCTCGTCGACCCCGGCGCTGGGTATACGCGCTGTATTGAGCAGACATTCCTGACGCACAACAGGAACTTGATGCGCCTCCCTGCATCCGGCCGTGCATGGGAAGGGTACGTATGCCAGTATCACGTTGTGAATCGAGAGCATGCGCTGATAGTGGCGTAGCTTTGGCGCGGACCCCTACCTTACCGGGGAGGGCGCGTACCAGAGCGTCCTGGGTATCCAGTCGCAGGGCGTGCAGGCCGTTGCGAAGCATTTTCTCAACAAGTACGGTTTTGTGTACCATTCATCAAAGTGAGACTGATGTATGTCTCACTAGTGAGCAGGAACGCTCGCGTGCTTTCAGTTCGTCGAACGTGGATGACAGGTAATTTTCAATCCTACGATGGTCCGGCTGTATTGCTGACGAGGATGTCGTGTTATGCAGGACGGTGAGTGCTAAATCGTCCCTGAATTCGAGAAGACAAGGCTGGCTAACGAGTGTGCAAGCAACACGAACTGTACCTCCACCCCGTGCGTCCAACCCACCTTTCATCGAGACAGCCTCGCTCAACCTGCACCGACCTGTAGTTCCTCCGCAGCATCCAGGCGAACGTGGCAGCGGTGATGTGCAGCTACAGTAAGTCTCCCCTAACACTCACAGTGTACGGTCGCTAACACTCTTTGCTGTACCCGAAGATCAAGGCCAGTAGCGTCGTTGCGCGAGCCTGAAAGCACGGGAGGCTGAAAGACTACACTACAGTGAACGACACGTACGCATGCGAGAACAACGCGACGCTGCACGGATACCTCAAGGGCGAGCTCGGCTTCCGCGGATGTGCGTATCCCTCCCTCCCCCACTGCTCCCGTTGAGTCTCTGATTCTGATACATGGCGCCCGGTCCAGATGTTATGTCAGGTCAGCAACGCTGATCCATCTCGTGCGGTGGACTATGACTTACGGGCGGACTATGCAGACTGGTACGCGACGCACTCTACCGCGGACGCTGCAAACCACGGGCTCGACGTGAGTGGCGCAGCGGGGTTTGTCTCGATGTGGGTGCTCATGCAGGTGGTAGGTTACCATGCCCGGCGACGTCATCCCTGGCGGTGGAATCAGGTGACGACCCTCCGTAATGTTGCTACGCGGGATATCTGATCCTGGATACGTAGCTGGTTCGGAGACTCTCTGGTGCTCGCCGTGGACTTAGGGAGCGTCAACGAGTCGGTCGTCGATGTCGGTCAACTCTCGTGCCATATTTGCTGCTATTACTGATAACGAGATGCAGGAAATGGCGACGCGTGTCTTGGCCGGGTGGTCCGCACATCCAATATTACGTGACAGAATGCGGCATTAACATGTGTGCAGGTATCTCCTTGGCCAGGACCAGGGCTTCCCCGAAACGAATATTGGCTCCAGCGGGCCTGACGTCCAAGGGGACCACGCCAGGTCGGTCTTCGTGTAATGTGGGAGATACGCTCTCGTCATGAACTCGTGTTTGTTGGAGTAGCTTGATAAGGACCATCGACGCCGCCGCCACCGTTCTGCTGAAGAACGACAAGGGCATGCTGCCGCTCAAGTCGCCGAGGTCAATCGCGATTATAGGTACGTGTTGTAGCTGTATCTGAGTGAAGGCGGTGGGGTTGCTTACTGCGATGAAGGGGATGGAGCGGGGTCGAACCCTTCTGGACCAAATGCGTAAGTGTCTCTTCGATTTATAGTCGTATAGTCATGCTCAGGCAGGTGTCACCTTTTAGCTGCGCCGACCGGTCGTGCGACAAGGGTGTCCTGGGCATGGGCTGGGGTAGCGGGTAAGCGTACGCCTGGGCCTGAAAAAGAATAATGATTTACAGCCCTTGCAACAAGGACCGCCAACTACCCATATTTGATCGCCGTGAGTCTGAGATAAGCTCCAACAGACTTTTTCCGAATGTGTGTCCGTCAGCCCGTGGATGCAATCACTAACCGGTCGAAGGAGACCAACACGACCGTCGTCTCCTCGCTGAGCGACAGCGACCTGAAGGCCGCTGCCAAAGCCGCCGCCGGCGCGTCTGTTGCGCTTGTCTTCATCACGGCTGATAGCGGCGAACTGGGGTACATTGTCGAAGGCACTGATGGTGATCGCAATAACTTGAACGCCTGGCATAACGGGGTGAGTCCTTTCCTAGGAGTTGGCGGAAGTTGAGTCTGATGGGGAGGCCAGGATGATTTGGTCAACGCGGTCGCTAGCGTGAACAATAACACGATCGTCGTTGTCAACACCGTCGGGCCAATTCTCGTCGAAGCGTGGATTGATCACCCTAACGGTAAGAGACATCGCCTATGGTCGTGAGGGGTAGTCCTCTAACTTGCCGATGGACTGTCAGTGACGGGTCTCGTGAGTTGTGATCTGATGCGTGCGAATGACACTGGCCTACTGAGTTACTCGATCCTAGGTTTGGAGCGGTCTGCCTGGCCAAGAAGCAGGTACGTACAATGAGCAGACAGTGGACAACATTATTTGTTCATGAGAGTAGGAAATGCGCTTGTGGACGTACTATGGGGTGATTACAACCCGAGGCAAGTCTAGTAAGTGCCTCTGGGTGCAATAACTAAACAGCTCCACCTTAGTGGACGGCTACCCTACACCATTGCCAAGAACCAGAGCGACTACCCTGCCCAAGTAGACTTCGATATTTCCTTGTCGACCATCCAGATTTCATACAATGAAGGCTTGTTCATCGACTATCGTCATTTCGACGCTGTGAGTGCCGCAATTCAAGAGGGCCCTCTATCTTCAGCTAACGTACCATCATAGGCCAACATCGCCCCTCGGTATGAATTCGGATTCGGACTATCGTACACAACGTTTGATTACTCAGGCCTGAGTGTCAACGGCTCGCTAACATCTGGGTCAAACTATGATGCGACCGTCGTGGGTGCCTCGCTCGATGCAGCGTACGTGTCGGTTTATTGGTTTGCTATTCCATATCTCACCTGGAGAGTACAGACTTCACGAGACGGCTGCATCCGTGACCTTCACCCTTACAAACAATGGCACTGTCGCGGGGCACGAGGTCAGTTCCACTACTGCTACTGTGCATGGTATCTGAGTTGTCACAGATTCCGCAATTATACATTTCCATGCCCTCCTCTTCGAACGAGCCGCCGTATCTTCTGAAAGGTTTTGACTCGATCTTCCTTTCACCGGGCGAATCCACACAAGTTACACTCTCTTTGTCTCGTTACGATCTGTCCTTCTGGAACGCGGAGACACAGAAGTGGGAGGTTCCACAAGGTTCCTTTGGCATCACTGTAGGTGCTAGTAGCAGGGATCACCGTCTCTCTGGTCAGATTGCATCTCAGTGATATGCTTCAGTGTGAAGGGGACTTGAGACTCCCTTTATACGCAGGAGTAGTCTGCTGTAATCACCAGTCATTCTTTACTAAACCAAGTTATATAAACTCAGTCACGCTCACCGATGCTGCTACGAGCCACGTCTATCATAGACAATCCGCGTTTGCTCAAGTCATGATGCATACGTGGGCTTCGAGCCTACACAGACAAGAACGTCCGAGGAAGCATCCGGCAGGTAATCAGTTCACGTTTCCGCACAGTTTACTCTCGCCCACAAGTGTTGTCTGCCTTAAATGTGCTAAACAGCCTATGCAAGTCGTCCTGGATAATGCTGCATGAATAAGATCATGTAAGTAATGGTCGTCCTTCGTGGTGTTGTTTCTGCATGCCCGAATGCTGATTAAAATCCACTTCAGCTGCCCTGAAGGGTATTTCGGATCTTGGGACATCGAATTTGTTTGAATCCAGCTTCTCGTTTGCACGGTGCCTATACTTCATCAGGATAACGCGACATCGTGACCTAATCGCCAAAGAAATAGAGATGATTTGTTGATGATGGCTATCCAACTGCGCTGACGTGAGAAAAGTCCCTGCAGATTTAGATTTCCCTTCGCTTCTTGAAGGTCTTTCTTTAGAAATGGGAGGGAATGTGGTGACACGCAGGTGAGAGTAACTCGGAGTATCGTTATTGTGTCTGATCATACGTCGTCCGACCTGCGCGCCACAAGCGCTCTGGCAATTCTCGGGGTTTATTCAACACTGTGCACGAGATCTATGTTAGCGCTCATTCGGTGGAGACATCGGTCATTGAGCTACTCCAGTGCTAACCTAAATTCCGTCGTAACTAGTAGGACCGCCAGCCTCATCTTTCTCCTTGCTCCTTCAATAACGTCAGGCTTCTACCTACGCTGGAGTGTTCAGGATGTCATCGACCTTGGCGACTGTATTCAACCTGACTATCAAGGTATGTTCGCATGACATACCTGCTTAGGCTTGGCAAATCCTGCACGGAGTCACTCGCCTGTAGACGCTTCAGGCAATACCAGATCCGGTATCGTCCGCCGTAATTGGCTTGGTGACCGAGATATGGAACGCTGTCCAGCAGGTACGAATTGGCGAGGGACGGCACTTCGCATTGCTAAAGAATATAGGACACTGTCCTAGACGAACCAAAACAGGCACCAAGTCCGCCTCCTGTTCCAGCGCGTGTGTGAAACGTTGAGCTCCCTGAAGGTACCGCAAAATTACGCGGATGACGCCCTGCAGCAGGCGGTCGAGCCCCTCGTAAGGTATCTCCTCATTGCCCAATCGTCTTGATTTTCCTGAGCCTTACTGCGCCGTCAAAGAACCTTGGAGAATGTCCTCCGTTTCATCTTGTCAGAACATCGGAAACCGTTTCTCCGCGCCGTCCTGAACTCAACCGATCTGAAGCTCAAGATTGAGGAGCACGAGAGGCATATCTGGACGGCTTGCCTCGGGTTTCAAAACGCTGCGTTGCTCACGGCTAACAAGAAATTGGACGATTTATGGTCTTTGATCAATTCACAGCAGAGCCAGCAGAATGCCGCAGCCGCACAGCAACTTGCAATCGCACAGGATACGTCTGAAAAGCTGAACATGCTGCGTTCCGCTATTGCATCAACGAGCTTCTTGGATGAACTGTTGGCAGCCATGCAGGCTGACCCAAGGCATATGGTAACCGCTATGCAAGCTGTACTCGAGCGACAGGAAACCGGCGCCATTCAGCTTCGGCCAGAGGAGTTGGACTTCCTGAAAGCAGGTGTCAAGCGACTCCGCGCCCAGATGCACGGAGAGAAGATAAAAATCAGGAGCTGGACAGTGACCAGTTTCGAGGTTGAGAGGGGTTTCTTGCTTGGTAATGATGTGACGTCGACTATTCGGGTGGGAAGGTGGTTAGGAAGTAACACGGGAATATTAGAGCTTAAAAGCTCAGACGTGGGTTATCCATACCTCAGCTGTGAGAGAATACCACTGATGCTTTTCGGTTCTAAGGCCGTGCTGGAAGCCGTGAAGGTAATGTCCGCCATTCTTCCTTGACGGACCGTTTCGGATTCAGGACACCCTCCAGTCCTGGAAAACCTTGCGCTCGACCCGTATTCAAGGTGATTCGGTCTCACAGTATAGCATAAGCACATTGCCCTAACGATGTCATTCTGGAGGTTTACTGGGTGCTTCCTTGACCGACACCCCTCCCTTCATCCTGCTTCCCTATATGCCGGTCAACATATTGGACTTCTTACGGAGCTGTGGAGCACCTGATTATATTAGATTGGTTGGTACAGCGCGACGTGCCATGTCACGTATTGCTCATGTTTCGCGATCGTAGGTGTCGAAAATCACGCGTGGTTTGGATTATCTTCACAATCGGGATCCCCCAGTTGCACACGGAGGGCTTCGTCCCGTAAGACCCTATGTATATTCGTAGTAACGTATTGAACATATTTCCCCAGGCAACCGTTTGCGTGGAGCTGCAAGGCGCTGTGAAATTAATATGTACCGGCATCCGTCTCTCCGAGCTTGTGGCAAGCGATACAGATTCAGAGACTTCATTGCAGCGGTCACTCCTTTTCTGGCGAGCACCTGAATTAGGAGATGTATCTGTGCTTGGGACTCCAGCTGGAGACATATACAGCTACGGACTTTTGTTGTCTTCGATGCTGGGTGTTTTACAAGAGAAACACGCGAAGTCCCCATTTGATGGCCAGGCACTCCTCCAGAAGCTCATCGAGCCCTGCCTGAATCCGAATCCTGTGGCCCGACCCAGCACCACCAAACTGCTAGAGATGATCTCGGGTGCACATCCTACATTGCGGGAAGGGGATATGTTCTCTGGTCAAGCCTTATCGGAGGTAGAAGAGGTTCCGAGCGGGCTTGCGGAACGATGGAGGCTTGTCCCGATTGCTAAGCAGGCGTATGGCGTGGTCGGAGTCGGTCAAGATCCCATTTACCTACTGACGCCGCCTATTGATGGTGCAAACGAGAGCCCACTGAGACGATTGAGCTTCGAAGTGCGATGTCACGATCAAGGAGCCGAAAACACCAGTGAGTCTGATTCACCTACCAGTAGATGCCTGACATAACCTTGACAGCTGCGAATCCACGTGATGGTGCATGGGCTTGGGTCGAGGTTGCGCTGCATCGCGATGTGCCATTCGAATCAGGCCAGAAGACAATGGAAGTTGATCTGGAGAAGCTGTCCCCCGGACCTTGGAGAGGGCATATGGTTGCACCAACCCGTTGCGAAGTGGTCCGCTGCCGCTTCGCTGACTCAACACCCAGAATTCATCGGACGACTTTCGATCATCGACATCCTCTCGTACGTCTGGCAAAGAAAGGAGACCGGGTCGCTCTGTATCCGAAAGCTGCGTGCGTCCACTTGGCGATTTCTTACTCATTACGTTGATATTTACACCGCGCCTACACAGGTACCCTGGTTGGTTGTGCTACATTTATTCAGCGGAGGTCCACGTTGTCACAGAGTAGTAGTTATCCCTGTTGTCCACCTCGCCTGTTCATTAGCCTCACCCCATGGAGTCCCATCCCGGAGTCGCTAACCATGCAGATGGCACTTGCTTTGCCATCTGCTCGTGGACCTGACCATAATATCAGCATTGGCTAGCCGCTGCCTTAGTTGACGCTGCAGCCGAAACGATGAGGTTGATTATTTCAGCCGACAACTTGCTTCTGATTGTCAGTGTCGCTCAGTGACTCGGTCGGTCGTGTAGCATGTTATACATGACCAGAAGGTCATCGCGTAGTAGACTGTTGATTAAGAAGGGGCAACCTAGAAGGAGCGGGCTCTTGGAGAATTCCACAGGCAAATATGTCGGAGATTTCCGTCACTGCATATAATTGGATATAATCCGATAATAATCCTTCGCTCCAATGATACAGTGCTTTGCATAAAAGTCCGGAAACCGCGATTCGCGAAATGTTGTTTGTGCCAGCCAAACAAACCTATATGGGGTAGTCGATCACCGTAGCGCGGGCCGTTGACTGGTTGGCGGGACGCTTCGACATCCATGTATGAGGGTCGTTCTTGGGGGATTTTGACCTCTGCGTGCTCGATATCCTGAAGAGATACAGATCGGAGCGCTATTCAGCCTTGAGACGGGCATTTGTGTCCCAGGAGTGATATAGGCTGACTCGAGGACCGTCGCGCCCTCGGTCAGGTGTTACCGTACAAGGTATTATTTGGCTGGGACAAACAGAAACGCGCGAAACGCAGTTTCCGGACTTGTATGCAAAACACTGTAATCCTAAGTACGTGTCAAAGGCGCTCACGCATACTCGCGAGTGTGGCTTCGCACGTTCCGCTTGTTTCCGACGAACGTCAATTGGCCACTGCCTGAAGCTGCGCCTATGTGGTCCTGCCTTCAAGCACATCCTCGAGCTCACATATAAGCGCTCATATTGCTGGGTGTTGCTTTATCTGACTCGGAATCGTCTGGCATACGTCAGGCTCGTCGCAAAGGAAAACATCAAATATCCACCATGCGATCACGATTGCAGCGGAACTTGATACATGAAGGCACGTACATCATAACCATTGCAAGAGGAGCGGAAAGAGGCATGAATTGTATGGACTTGGCTATGGAGACACCGCGATGATGCCTGGAGTCCGTCGCTCATTCAATGCAACCACAAGCTGCATTGGGCGGTTCTTGCTTCACGTCAACACAGCGCAATGTGATGCGCAAGTAGGAGTGGTAGAATAGATCAATATAAACTTTGATTAGCGACAACGAAACGAAGAGACAACGAAACGAAGAGACAACGAAACGAAGAAGCACTTACTACACTGCCAAGGAGGTTTAACTAATTCGTTTGAATCTGCAGCGATGAAATCTACCACAGTTTTCTTTAGACTTGTACGGTGGCCGAGAGCCGCCAGGTCTAAGTCACGCGTGACCAATGCGCTGTGAGTTGCTGACGTTGTGCTTACAGTTTGAAGACCCCGGATACCTTGCCAGTGCAGCGGTGTGACGGCCCTTTTAAGTACTCTTTGCAACCTTTTATTCTGCTCCTCCACTGTGAATGTAGTCGAAGCTTTTCCATTGAATCTAGTAATACATATTTTCTACTAATTTCTGTTTTCTTGGGTGTTAGGTGCTTGCAGTAATTTACCCACTCGAGTGTAGACATAGAGGCCCGAGGGATCACTAACGGGATGGTTGTATAGTGTTGTTTTGCCGGCGGCCCTAGTTTAAGTCTCCCGAGAACCCCTTCCTGTATAGAGACGCCTGCGCTCACTCGGAGTGCTACCTGGTGGCCGGGTAACAGACAATATCATTACTGGACCAGGTTTGAGGCTTCGCGGCACCGTTTTGATATTGTTCTGGGTCGTCCACTTAGATTCAGTCCTTCTGAGCCGCCCTTCACAACATGAC